GCCCGCGCCCCGCGGCCCCCCGGGGGGGGGGCGGGGCAGCCACCGCACAGACTCCCGCATCTCAATGCCAACGGACCCCTCTGGTTGCAGGTGCTTTCTGCATTCCCTTGTACGTGCCCTATGTGCTGACGGGGAGATGGATCTTCGGGAGAAGCCTCTGCAAACTCTGGCTGGTAGTTGATTACCTGCTCTGCACCTCTTCGGTCTTCAACATCGTACTGATTAGCTACGACAGATTCCTCTCGGTGACAAGAGCGGTGAGTCCTGTCATGGCAGCTGAGAGGGGAATAACTCTCCTCCCGCTTTAGTCTCCAGATTCTCTGCAATAATTAAAAGCTCTTTGAATCCTCCGGAAATTATGAATCTTTCAGCCTGGTGATGGAAAGCAATAATTATCCAGAAATACATAATTCAGCTGTGGTTTCAGATTAGTATTTCTGGCGTAATTAAATCATTTAAGGTTCAGACCCCATTGTGCAGGTGCTCCCTTCTCAGATGGCAGGATAGTAGCGTACAAGTGAGTCAGTGAGGTAAGCAGACCTATTACTAACTTGCAGGGGCTTCTTATTTCCAGGACAAACAAGTGGATTGCAGTCAGACTCCCAGCTTCTCCCTGTCTACCAAGGCAGTAGGCTGCAGTACCAGCTTCAGCAGGGCACTGCCCTCAGGTCTCTGGGTACGCGGCGAGATGAAAATGCTCAGCCTTTTGTAGGAGGTAATGAGCAACTTGCAGGCAGATCAGATCCATTGCTGTTTGCTTGTTCCCCGACTCCAAATACACCATGGATTAGCTACAAGGCTCAGAGAGAGGCAGAGCTAGATGCCTGCCTAGCCCAGGAGTTTGATGCATGCCTCTCCGCGGGAGCTGCGGAGAGTAGCTGGGGACAACTCAGGCAAGTGGTGGGGTGCAGCAGACTGCCGGGCTCCAACCAAGTCAGTACATTTCCACTAAGCAGAAGCCACATCTGTTTTTGGAGCTGCAAGATGAGCGTTCCAAGTCTTCCCTGCAGGAGTGTGATTTATCTAGCAATTGTTCCTGTTGCCTATGGCATATGAATTTGTTACACTGCTGGGATATTGCCTAGCAACTTTACCAGGAACACTAACAGTTCATTTGTGAAGGGCCTCAACCAGTTGGGGTGTGTGGCCGTACTTAAGAAAAGGTTTCCCCGTTGCAGGTCGCTTACAGAGCCCAGCAAGGCAACATCAAGCGAGCGGTGCTGAAGATGGTGATGGTATGGGTATTAGCGTTCCTGCTTTACGGACCTGCCATTATCAGCTGGGAGTATATATCAGGCCGGAGTATCATACCCGCTGGGGAATGCTACGCTGAATTTTTCTACAACTGGTATTTTCTGATGACAGCCTCTATGCTGGAGTTTTTCACCCCTTTCATCAGTGTAATGTTTTTCAACCTGAGCATTTACCTGAACATACAGAAGCGTACCAAAATACGCCTGGATATTTTCCACGAAGCGCACAACCAGTCCTTCACTGACGAGATGGAGATGAGCCCAGAAGCAAAGCTTGCTTCGAAATGCTGTAAGCAGAAGGATTCAGCTGAAACCCTCGGCAAAGCTCAAGCAGCAGCCTCCACTGCCAGCCCGGGTGCGAAAGACCTGCTGTCAACAAGCTCTGAGCGCGTCGGGAAACCTAAGTGTTGTAACAAAAAGAGCTGTAAAAATTCAGCATCCACTCTATCCTTAGAGAGACGGATGAAGATAGTGTCCCAGAGCATGACTCAACGCTTCAGGCTCTCTAGAGACAAGAAAGTGGCCAAATCACTGGCAATCATTGTGGGCATTTTTGGGATTTGCTGGGCACCGTACACTCTCCTGATGATCATCCGCGCTGGCTGCCACGGCCACTGCATCTCTGACTACTGGTACGAGATTTCCTTTTGGCTGCTGTGGATCAACTCGGCTGTCAACCCTGTCCTGTACCCTCTCTGCCACTACAGCTTCAGAAGAGCTTTTATTAAACTCCTCTGTCCCAAGAAGCTAAAGATTCAACCTCAGGATCCCCTTCAGAACTGCTGGAAGTGAAGCAGGCGGATGAGAAGAGCCTTGGTTTAATACACCTGTGTTATGGAAAAGTCCTGTATCTTCCTTCCTTGGAAGAACCCGGGAGCCCTGGTCTGGGGTATGTGAGGAAGGCAGCAGCGAGACCACTATTCGTTTATTCTAGCCCATCAACAACAAAACGACGCAGAATAGAAGGGTAAGGTTTTAACATAACCACAGGCAGCGAAATCTGTGTCCTCCACTTGCAGGTGCCACAGAAGAGCTCTGCTGCCACCTAGTCAGCCAGAGCAGCACCAGCATTTTGTTAAAATAAAAATAAAAACTGAAAGAAATAAAAGCTAACAAAAACAAATATCTAACCTAAAACCACTGGACTAAACTACAGTTTACCGGCTTGCAGACCTGAGTTTTCCCATGAACGGGAGGGTTCTTTCCTTACATCTAAGATATGTGACAATACAGAAAGAAAAGAATAAACTTCAGAAGGAAAACACCTCGTTTGTCATTACTGCTACAGCAGCTACAGCCTTAATCTAGATTGCCACTGCATGTGGTGCAATAGATGTCCCTTCTCCTACCCAAGAAGGGACAAATCTCTGCCCTAAGAAGTCTGCAGCCAGACTCAGATGTGCCAACCATCCTGAAGCACCCTGTTGGCATTCCCTCATCCCTTCAAAACTGATCCGATTTCCTCTGCGTCCAGCCACACACTGACCAACGCTCCCACAGCACATGGGAGCACTTCCCTCCTGCCCGGAGCTGTGCAGCAGGAGCAAGCCCAGTCCCTGGCCCTGCAGGACGTGGGAGCCCTGGCAGACCCGAAGAAGAGGGCTGCTGTGCCTACGTGAAAGGTGCCGGCAGGGTATCGGCTTCTCCGCAGTCTCCCTCGTGATGACCCAAAGACATTTTTAAATCTCTTCTGCAGGATCTTAAAAATACTCTTTTGGCAATGTGCCAGTGAATGACAAGCACTGGGAGAAGTGAAGCTTGTGTTCCATTTTTTAAGTTAGTTTCAGACCTCTTAATTTTAGCAAGTTCCAGAACTCTTGCATGCTTCCTTTTAAAATACATAATTTGAATGGAGACCCGGGTCGAGCTGATCCAGGCAATGTAAGCATCAATTTATTTATTTATTAAGCAGTCAACTAATTCCACATATAGAGCACCAGATTCAAGAGACCAGGGCTCCATCCTCAATCTTAACGTGAGATCTTGGGCATTTTATCTCTGCTTCCCGTCTCGTGCTTCGTCATACTTGCCCATTTATTCTGTAACCTCTTTGGGAACAGAGGTAGTATGACCATAAAGCAAAACACTTCAACTCCCCATCTCTGTTGGCACTGCTCAGTGATATAGTAATACAAATACATAATTAGTTGCCATGGCAAACGTTCATATTTAACAGTATTGTACAGGGAAGCTCAAGATCATAAGTCTGAAAACTACATTTACAAATAGAAACCCAAATACTGTAAAGTAGTACCCAAAAGCTTATGATGTTGTGATTGCCAATTACACTTAGCTGTTGTAAGCACGCTGCTTTTTGGCTGCTGCTAGGAATAAAAGAAAATGCTACCCAACTTTATTCCAGTGACATTTGTTGAGTGGATCAGTATTGTCATCTGAAGTCAGGTTTTAAATGATATCTTGTTTTGTGTATATGATATTTCAGTCTTGTGACATGTTCAGTCAGACCATTATATATGGGTTAAAATATATCCTTTGAAGTATGTGTACTGAGAATTGACAGTATATACTGTTGAGCCTGCTTGTACCTTTCCTTGTGTCTGCTACCTTCTGAAAACCCCAATAAAGTATTTTTATATGAAGTTTGCCAAATATTTTATGGTAAACAGAGTGTTGCTGGAAATGATAAAATCCAACTGAAAGTAAAACATCTATGGATTTGTCTGAGGAGACAATTAAAGCAGATACATTTTGCAAAAAAATAGCTCCTAAACCAGCTGAGTTTCTCTTGCCTCTGATTAACAGGTTCCTGACAGCACACTGTCGTGAGAGCACATCACTTAATTCTTCCCAACTCTGGCTCTTTTCCAGAGCATGTTACATGCAACTTAGATCTGAAAAGGTTGCATGAACATTAACTCCTCCTGTGACTTACAAAATCCACTGGCCTGCCTAAAAAAGACAAAGTCATAATGTGAACGAGGTACCAGTTTCCAGCTGTGGTTCTCTTCATTTGTTCATAAAGAGAGGTGGGACTACTAGATCATTCAGCCTGATAAAAAGAAAAGCTACCAACTGCGTAACACCTTAAGGGTGGAGGAATTGTTGTGTCTGTCTTTTTTTTAACCCTGTATTAAACAGGGGTTACCTACTTCACGTTCTCACCCTCCAAAAAAGGGATTTTGTTTTCCTCTTTCAAAGATTATCCTGCATGATATTCACTGCATCAGCAGAAGGTCTTTGAAATACAGTAGAAGCCAAGCAACTGTTAAAACTACAGTAAATTGGTTTTAAAAGGGAAATATGCCCCATTTCATGTGATCTTCCATCATTCAAAGAGCCAGCTTTCTCCAGGAAGATTTTATCAGCTTCTGAAGTCATGCCCACAACACTTGTTCCTGTACCACTTCTTTTGCCTGCACGTGACACAAAAGCTTTCTTGTACCTGTAGAACACACATCCCTCTGATCCCCGACTTCTGCTCACCAGTCCTCAGTGTGCTTGCAAATGAATGTTGATTGCATGCCATCTACTGCCACCAAAACGAGTACGATGCTACAGGTAGCTACTGAAAAGTCAAACCAGATACCAGTTATTTAACAAAACTGAGTAAGATTACAGCATAACGTACCTTGCTGGGTTCCTTCCCTTCTTCCATTTCACGGGGGTTGTTTTTTCACAGAAATACCCCCAAACATATCTGAAAGCCCAGGAATCTTATTAGCACGGACACTTCTTCTGCCGTTTTAAGGAAGAGGAAACTTAACAGAAAAGATAAACGTTAATCTGAACAAACTCTGGCAGCTTTCTGGTGCCAGTGTGGTTAACAGCTGAATCTTTGACAAACTAGACCTGAGAATACCTTCCATACTGCGGTTTTGTTACTTCTGACTAAACAAATGAATGAACAAAGAATTTATCAGTCTTTCCTATATGAGGCATTTGCCTGAGCGGGGACTGGTAATTGGGCTTTCTAGTAGAATAAAATAGGAAGATGGCAGAGGGGGTTGGTTTTGTTTTTCTTATTTCCTCCACATTCTAATACACATCAAGAACGTTAAAACATTGTTATGCAAGAAGACCAGAGCTAAGCAACAGGGAGCATATACTGAGTTATTTTAGCAGGCTTTTTTTCCCCCATTTCTATAAATTTCCTCTTCTTAGAGCTTGAATTCATTGAATCAAATTAAAAAAAAAAAAACAAACCCACAACACATGAACACTCTTAGCTCCAGAACTGGTTTTCCTGCACGTGATGAGCTGAGCAAGCAGCCATTTAAAAAGGGAGTTGCAACTGTTTAGATTCTGAACATGATGTTTTTCCAGATGGTCTGAGCCTCCGATCTCAAATTCTTAGCTTATGGTTAAGTATTTATGTACTGAAGGCAAACAGCAGGTTTTCCCCTACATCCATTAGTAGTAACTGTTCAAAAGTGATGAGACCAGCTTTAAATGTCAAGGTGCCTTTGCAAGCACATGGGCTAGGAATTTTTTGGCTTTCACATGTTCACACAGTCAAAGAGCTAAAGCTGTAAACAAAATACCTGGTTTTAAGAGACTCACAAAATTCATAATACTCACGGGGAGTTGGTGGAGATTGGTTTTGCTTTCAGTGATCCATAAGACCATGATACACCTGCGCTGAAGTGCAGATGCCATCTGTACAAGCACCATGCTTGTACGGATACTTATATTCCTTCCTGAAAGAAGAGCTCTTGCTTTGCCAAATAAAAAAGAAAAATAATTACTCATGCCTGGACGTGAGGTCACACCTGAGCCTGGTTTTCATACTGAAAATGTTATAAGCTGGTTTGAAGTTTCAGAGTAGCTGATGACTAATTCAAATATGCTTAAAAGAGTGAATTCTGCTGATTTTTAGTGTTCAGCATATAAACGTCTGTATGCATTTGGAAGAGGCAGGGACTAGGAAGCTTCTAGGCATAATCAAATATGAACTGTGAAAACACATTACCATTAGACAAGGTAGGGCTTCTTGTCAGCTAGCCTAGCAAAACACCTATATATGGTTTTTGCTACCATCCCTGCTAACAAAAATGCCCCATTCCTATTGTCTAGACATAAACTGAGCAGGCAGGACCTGTTTTCAAAAACCATGAAGGATGACTTGCTGTAACTACGAATATGCATCAAATATTTGTGGAAGCACACAGGCTTCCACACAGAAAAGAAACCCAGCTATTTCCAGAGAGAAGTATCCAATTTATGCGTGGAGTGTTAGTAAACGATGTTCATGCAGCTGTAAATCGTACCCAGGAGCTCTTTAAAGAAACGGGCTAAGTGACTTCCCGTAAGACCTGTGCAGAGGCAATGCCGGTTCCCTTCTCTTGATACAAAACCTGCACTCCATTAACTGGAGGATGTAAAGGCCACCATAACGAGGTCTGTGGTCCTTTCATAGAGCAGCATCTGCATATCAATAAACTATCAAAGAACATTTTTCAGCACAGCTACTTTCTTTTTGGCTCTGTAATGCTTCCTCCCCTCATCACCAATAATGAGACATCTCTTTACACAGAGAGAGGAACTTTGCTCCCACCCCCTCTTTCCAGCGCCCTTCCTCAATTACCATTCCTTATTTGTTCTCTCCAACCTGCAGTTATATAAATTGCTCCATTGTTCCAGAGGCATCACTGAAGCTTCATTAGCTCAAGTAGGAGGCTAGAGAAGAGAGAATGCAAGAAGGAGCTTTTGTTGAAAAACACCTGTCTGGGATAATTAGTGAGATTTGCCGAGAGGGATGGGCTTTGAAATCGGGAAGATGTGATTATATTTTGATTTGAAAGAGTGCTAATGGTTTTCCTTCCATGTTTGTA